GGGGGGCTCAAGACTTGATTTTATAATCCCAGACGCCGCAGGCTTGTCAGATTGGGGAAATTCTTCCATTGGTGCTGCTCTCAATGTCTCGTTGTGCCCACTTGAGCAAATGTCCTTGGCCGCCCGCGATGACACGATGACAAATAGCCGCGGCCGTTCACACCGCTGCTTCGTTTTTAAAAAGGACATCAAACTTGGGGCAGATTTATAACGTGCGAGTTGATGACCTACTTCTTAAACTACCAACTTTGAATTACGATCGCATATTAACGGTGAGAAAACCAATGTTTATCTAATATGAGATAACCCACTCGGGCTACGGTTGCAATCCTTGATTCACGTTCAAATAAAACTCCACGGGAGGCAAAACAATCGGATGGAACCAAGCGCCTCGTCTCAACATTTGAGTCGGGCGGCACTATCGTTAATTACGACTAATGCAAAACTGAATGCAACGAAATAACAGGCTCACGCTAAATGTCTGTAGCCTACTTTACATAACCCCCTCTCCGTTACCTGAATGTGCCTTTATTTAGTGACTCGAGAATTCCTCCGGTGCTGCAACACAGACTTCATGATGCAACAGCAGGACACAAAGAGGAACTATTTCACAATGTAAGAAATCAGGATATATGATATCCAGATAACATTCAATCGAGCGCAGTAGCCGATGCAAGCCGGACAGCGACGCGACGGCAGATAGCGAGGGCGGCGGCGGTTTAGCGCCAGCCTCGTTCTTACGTCTCGAAATCTGCTCTTCTACACATGGCCAAATTTCCACAGGCTATTGAGTCCCCTTCACATTAATCACCGCCAAATCTGTTGAACAGCTTGTTCGGGGTAATTTGACCAATCACGTGCCAGCCGAGCATGACTCCGCATGGGCTCTCCTGACAGCAACACAAAACAGCAGAGGTGCGTTCCATCTGTTTCTTGATCAGCTTGTGTACAACTCCAGGGCACTGTTACAGGATGCAACTAATCTCTTGCCCCGCCTCACCCCCATGACATGTGGATTTTAGCCTGTTATATTGCCGCTTCTCCACCCCACCCATGCATCCATTGCGTTTCTTCTGCGGGTTGTGAGTGAGAAAGCTTTCTCTTTCGCAATCGCTCCTCTGTGGGCTTGCTTGAGCTCACCATCACGCCAACACAATCTACCCACCCGAGTCAAAATGCCATTTCAGAAAGTGCGACCGACAAACAGGTTTGCTGCTCCAGCGGCGATTACATAAGCCTGCTGAAACCGTGATCACAACAGAGGCCGTGGTGTGAAAATGATCAGTGTTGAATGCAGAAAGTCGAAGATTGGCATATTTATAAGCAAGGAGCTCATCCATTTGCTGGAGCATTTATCCACTTCTGGTGCTGGTCGAGGGGGAGCCGACAAGAGGCGGACCGCGCCCGGCGGCACTGATCGGCCGTCAATTACAGAGAGCTTGTGGTCGGGGCGTTTTTCTTTTCATATACATTCAAAGGAGTGCGGGAACTTATTCATCTGCACAATTTCCTGGTCAATTTTGGCAGGAAAAGCTTGGTACAAAGTCCAGGAGGAATATGAGCAATAATGCAGTGACAAAAGCCGTATATGTTTACAACCTTTTGGCTCTGGCGAGCAGCGAAAGGCAAACCAAGGTGTGGCGCCATTAATGAGTAAATGATTAAAGTTCACACAAGCCATAAATGCGCAAGGTGAACATTGCATGCAAGAACTTGGCAACAAAACAGGATGCAGTTGCTGCGGTCTTAATTTGTCAGTCGTGTCCAGATGATCCGGAACGCTGCTGCTCGCCTCTTGACTGGTACTCGTAGGAGGGAGCACATAACATAAAACTCAATTTTATTCTCTGGCTTTGAACTCAGCAGGACACTTGATTTGTCACGTGACCGTTTTTGTGCTTTCTACCGTCTTTGTTACTAGTTTCGTGTAACAAACGTACAGCGATCCGGAACGCTGCTGCTCGCCTCTTGACTGGTACTCGTAGGAGGGAGCACATAACATAAAACTCAATTTTATTCTCTGGCTTTGAACTCAGCAGGACACTTGATTTGTCACGTGACCGTTTTTGTGCTTTCTACCGTCTTTGTTACTAGTTTCGTGTAACAAACGTACAGCACGTTGTATACAGCGTGGTTGTTTTAAAAGTGCTCCACAAATACAGCTGAGTTGAGTCGTCAAATGTGTCCCAAGTTCTTGGCAAGATGCCCGAAGGACTGCCAAGGGTCCCCCGTGACAAAGACGACCTGAAATTTGAAACCGGTGTGCCAAATCCTTTTCACTCTAAGCTTATTCGCACATGCGGCGCTGATGAGCCATTGGTGCGCTGCAGCAGAGGCGTCATGACGCATATTTGTTCAGATGGGTTGAAATATTCTAGAGGACGAAACATCAGTGGGTTTTTTTTACTTTTTTTTTTTAAATTTCGGGAGGATGCTCATCTGCAAAAATGCCAAGTGACATAACAGCGGAAAGCCCCGACATATCCACAAGCAGACTTTGGCCCAATGGCCTTTCATCCAATGTGATGCAATTGAGCATTGGGGATTTCAATACGTCACCGAGCATTTGGAAAATAGGATCCCACCCCAGAGACCACAAAGCCGTACTTCGCAATCTGTCTCGAGCCTCGGCCACGATGGCCTCCAGGCAAGCGGCGGTGAGTAAGCGCGAGGACAAAGGGGTACTCATGACATCACCTATAATGTTTTACCTTACACGCGTAGGAGAGGGAAGCCAGCGCCTGTCGGGAGCGCTCGTTAACTTACGGGTGCCGCATCCGGCAAACGGAACTGTGGTGGTTTGATGAGTGCGAGGGACAGTGGCTCGGCGAGGTGGATTTGCAAGTGTCTCGGTACTGAATCGCCACTGACGTTTTTCAGACAATTAGAATTTGCAACCATATTTCAGTTGATTGTGAAACAGCTGTGATGGGAACTTTCTCTTTAAAAAAAAATGTGTTGCCGGTTGACACGCAAGTGATATTTACCTTTCGAGCGCAGGTGCATTCTTTGAAAAGAAAGTGAAAGCAGATATTCGTTCTTTAAGGCGTCTCTGTCCGCCACTAAGGTGTCAACCGCCATGTATTAAGGAGGGGCGGCGGGGGGGGGCATGCCGACATTGTTTATGATCAATTCAAGCTTTGACATGTACAGTATTCCCTCGAACTGAAAGCAGCTTTTACGTGGCATTTATGAGCCATCAAAATCCTTCCGATTTGGGTACAAACAAGAATTCCGCTTGGAATTCCTCCTTTTGTTGATCTTTTAAGATGACATGGAATGAAAAAAAAAAATAACGGATATGCATTATGACTGTACTGCGAACGCAACACGAGGTTGAGTAGATCAACGCAACGCCATAAAGCTTCACCCAGATGGTCCGACTTGAGGATTAAGATCAATTCGTGTCGCATGTTGAAAGCGTCTTCATTTGATTGGCGTTCTGCAGAGCATGTCTTTCATACATCGACAGCTCCTTGCGTCCCACGAGCTTCGACGAGGCAAGATACGCATCTTGCGTTTGACATCTTCAACCCAATCATCTGGCAACCAAGCAAACTGTTCCTTGGAATCGAATGACGGGGAGCCGGTTCTCATCAAGAATCTCCTTTCGATTCCCATCACCCGTGGCTTCGATTTTATCATTGAACGAATTGCTGGAATTTTTGATCGTGATGGAGACGGCATACTTAGCTTGAATCTAAATGATTAGGCCTCCGCACTCAACCGAGTACCGTTGAAGAATTTCTCTCTCTTTTTTGGTGGGTATTGTTTGTGAAATGACATGGAGACGGCATACTTGAATCTAAATGATTAGGCCTCTGCACTCAACCGAGTACCGTTGTAGAATTTCTCTCTCTTTTTTAGTGGGTATTGTTTGTGAAATGGCACAACATAAAGTATAAAAAAACACCTTGGAGCACATTTGTGGCCGCTTTTTGTTTTTTTTTTTCTTTATACTTGCTAACGATTAAACGAACTCTTGCTTTTGTCTGCTTAGCACGTGTCTCTTCTGGGACAATGGTATTCCTCCCCACTTCCATTCGGTCTCTTGACAACCAAAGACAGAGCGGGCTAATTGACGAGGGTTGGCCTTTGTTCCGTCTTGGCAGCTTCGCGGCAACGCTGACGTAACGTAGCTTTTGGACAGATGGTCAGCCAAAGAGCTGAATGGCCAGGGGAGCTCCAGTCTTACTCAAGACGACAAGAGCAAGTGCCCTTCTGATCCCCTCGCCAAGCACCCCCCGCCCCCCCACCTCCCATTCGTCACAGAGTGCACTTTGATAATCTTTACAGAGATGTGCAACGCACTGGCTTTTGCCAACAGATAGAGCTGAACTCCACCATCCGCTTATCCTTTTCAGGGTCAGCGGATGAAGTGGACCGCGGCTGACTTGGGACGTGGACTGATCATCGGTCAATCGCAGGTCACATATGTTGTTTAAAAAAATAAAATAAAATAAAAAAGTTGCTCGCTTTTTTTTTTTGTATTTGGGAATTTTTCTTTAGAACCACAACACAAACTATTCCAAAGAAACACACACACACACACACGCACACACACACACACACACACACACACACACACACACACACACACACACACACACAAAAAAAATCAAGGTAGCTTGGAGGGACACTCACATGTGTGGACTAAGTTCATAGAAGTTTCTGTTGCGATACTCTTCCACTTTCTCAGGGGTGTAGATGGGCAGCGACCTGTAGGGGTTCATGGAGATGACCACACTGCCAATGTAAGTCTGCGGGGAAGAAACGAGTGAACGGCTCGTGAATGAACTTGCAATGTCTTCATTCTACTGGAGAAACAGCAGGTTGAGCTAAAAAAAAAAAAAAAAAAAACTAACACACAAAAACAAAACCAAGTGCATTTGAAACCTGATTGTTGAACAACAATGGGAGGAATTCTGCTTGCCTCAGCTTTGCTCAGCTGGGGATCGCTAATACAGTGTTGAGGCTTGCAATGCCTGGAGTGAAACCGAACACAAACGGGAATTTGTGGGGCGGGGCAAAACCTCAGAATGTTGAGGAGTCTGGTGCGGCAGCGCCCGGCAAACCAATGATGACACTTTGTACACACCTTCAAGTTTGAAAAATCATCTGCTTGTGGCTGTCATGTTTTTTTTTTCTCCATGCGAGTATTTTGTTGACGTATCGGTGCAACGTGGACTTGGAGAAAGTGTGTCATGCGTGACCGCTATAATGAACGCAAAAAACCGTAAACTACGGTCAGCGTGATGCCATCGAAAAAGGTTTTCCGCATTTCCACCCTGACAGTCTGAACTGGTTTTGACACTAAAAACAACGCGAGTGATTTTTATGGAGTTGTCATGAACTCATTTACTGCAGTGTGCGCCAATATTCGTCAAAGAGGAAAACCTCGCCGATAGTATCATGTGTCTATAAAATTGTTACAATACAACGCTGCCTCAGATTGTAACCTTATTAAAAATACATAAAACAAAAGAAATACATTTACGTGTTGAGTGCGCCACTGCCACCTACTGTAGTGGATGTGCAGCTACACTTTATTCAAAGTCCAGCAAACAGAATCCTACTGTAAAACTCTCAACTTTTCTCTGCTTTCCATCACACCAAAACAAAACAATTTTTACGTAACGTTGACACCACGTCCGAGCAAAATCTAACACTTCAGCTCACAGAGAGCATAAGCAGCCATCGACGCCTACGCTCAAAAACAGTGCCTGGATAGCACTTTCACACATCAAGCAGAAACATTCTCTCTGCTGTCCATGGTAATGGTTTGTTGCGTAATCCACTCCAAGAGGAGCGGAGCGCGGCCTTGCCTGTGGCAACAACCTCCCACAGCCTCTCGTTCAAGAGCAACACAGGAGGGAGCTTTGGGGCCTTTTCAAGTGGGGAGGGCCGCTACAAAAGTCCATAATTGACTGCAATCTAAACATCGTCATGTGCTGCCGAGGGTTTCTGATGACCAAAAGTACACGGCACAAGAGCGAGGCTTGCGTTTGTTTCATGCTAAAAAAAATTAAAATAAATAAAATTCAATATTAGTCTGGAATTAAATCAAAAAATAAATGGATCAACAAACATGTTAAGACTATTGAAGGAAGGACAAGAATGAAGAAATGAAATCGAATCCAAGGAGTCCGCGATCTCTTTTCAACACCTGCGCAGTCTGAAAATTTTAATTTGTTGATCGGAAAACTTGTAAGTGAACATGTGCAGACCTCTTCATTATTTCAAAAGAACGAAGTCTCTCAGCGATACGAATCACATTAAGGAGAAATGCCAAAGGCAACTCCTTCATATATTTTCCAATAATTGCATTTTAAAATAAGCCAGTTGCTTTTGGTGCCTTGCAGTCAAAGCAATATTGGCATTTTTTTTCCCCCCTCCAATCGGCAAGTACAATTCTGGAATGTCATTGAGATTTATTGAAGGAACGCTGGCTGTGATTTCCCGAGTTATAGCTTTTGAAAAGGCACTTAAAATTTTTTTTTTTTAAATCTTTACATTACGACGCGATTCAAAATGCTGTAAGGTTGAAGACTTCATTTCGAAAATTAGAAGCCCAGAGATTATAATTACAGAGCACGACCTACAAGAAGATAAAAACACCATCCCAACTGCTCGTGTGGGAAGTGAGCTGCGTCTTAAGAAAATATCGAGTGCGCGGCCCCGGCTATCATTGCTGCATGAGTTGACATTATCCCTTGGGCACTGGGAGCCAACGGCAACCAGAGTGGAGGTGGAATCATCACAGCTGATGTCTCGAGCAGCCAGACAGTCTGAGCATGAAGCTCGGGCCCCATTATGAGACATAAAAATAGTCCAGTCAAGGCTTTGCCTATAGAAAGCCAGCCAGCCACTCTCACATACCGTAAAAAAAGACAAATGCAGAAGGGAAGCATGGAAATTGCAAACTAAAATGTAAAGACCCTGAAAAATGAATTCTGACATCACTGTCTAGACACTGATATTGAACTTAGGTGCTAAAAACATCCAATCAGCATTTTTCACCATTTACATTAAAAAAATAAAAAAATTAATCCAATTGAATAAAAAAATTGGGCATCAGCGGTTATCCAGCACATTTGCGGCATGCATTTAGTCAACTAGCTATACAAATACACTGACAATGCATCTTTCCTTCATAGTGTTTTGTCGTGGCTGCGTTGGAGTGCCTCATTGTCTACCATGAGTGTGCGGACAAAGAATGACAGAATCGTAAGAAGAAAGGATTTTTTTTTTTTGGGGAAATAGTCTAACTTGACAGCCAGTGTGTGGACCGTCACTCTTCTCACTGGTGTATCAGATTGAGAAGACAACTTCCCCTTTATGAGGACTTCAACATGCCTGAAGACGGGAAGCACAAAACTTCATACGTATGCGAAATGAATACACTGAAATACATTACTTACATAGATCTCATTGTGGTCAAAGCGCTTTCTCAGGTTCTCAAGGAAGGAGTCTTCTGACAAAGGTTCCAGGAGGACCATGTCACCCACCCCAATCATGTTGTCTAGAAGTGACGTTTTCACCTCCATTTTGGCTGCTGGTTTCGCCCTGGAGAAAAAAAAAAAAAAAAAGATTTGCATTTGTCAAACATGCTGTGCAGTGACCTGGAAAGAGGTGGCCATGTCAGGTTAGTGGCCATTGACTTCTGCCTTTTATTGAGAAGTATCATTCAAAACCTCAATCAGAATGCTAAGCTACGTAAATAAGCGGTTGTCAAATTTGCCAGAAAAATCAACACTGGATTGGTCAGCAATCGAAGAAGAAGGAATACGAGGTCTGCGTTTGTATCGTCAGTCTTGGTCTCAACGACTGACTTGACGCTTGACCTCTGGGCGGTTACTCAGACGTGTTTTATAAATCAAAAGAAATAGCGCGGGATTCCCACATTTTCTCACCCGTCTGCTGGCTTCGCCACCCGGCCGGTAAAAGATCTGAGCTGGCGAGCGCCCGCACAAAGACAATGCTGGGGCTGGCACTTTTCAGTCCCGCGCTGCCCTTTTGGGACGCTAATCCCATTGCTATAGGACGGGAGAAAAGAGGGGCCTAGCATACATTCATGGCCCTGTTACGGGGCTTTGCTCAACCGCGACGCAATGTTCGCCAGTGAACATGTGCAGACCTCTTCATTATTTCAAAAGAACGAAGTCTCTCAGCGATACGAATCACATTAAGGAGAAATGCCAAAGGCAACTCCTTCATATATTTTCCAATAATTGCATTTTAAAATAAGCCAGTTGCTTTTGGTGCCTTGCAGTCAAAGCAATATTGGCATTTTTTTTCCCCCCTCCAATCGGCAAGTACAATTCTGGAATGTCATTGAGATTTATTGAAGGAACGCTGGCTGTGATTTCCCGAGTTATAGCTTTTGAAAAGGCACTTAAAATTTTTTTTTTTTAAATCTTTACATTACGACGCGATTCAAAATGCTGTAAGGTTGAAGACTTCATTTCGAAAATTAGAAGCCCAGAGATTATAATTACAGAGCACGACCTACAAGAAGATAAAAACACCATCCCAACTGCTCGTGTGGGAAGTGAGCTGCGTCTTAAGAAAATATCGAGTGCGCGGCCCCGGCTATCATTGCTGCATGAGTTGACATTATCCCTTGGGCACTGGGAGCCAACGGCAACCAGAGTGGAGGTGGAATCATCACAGCTGATGTCTCGAGCAGCCAGACAGTCTGAGCATGAAGCTCGGGCCCCATTATGAGACATAAAAATAGTCCAGTCAAGGCTTTGCCTATAGAAAGCCAGCCAGCCACTCTCACATACCGTAAAAAAAGACAAATGCAGAAGGGAAGCATGGAAATTGCAAACTAAAATGTAAAGACCCTGAAAAATGAATTCTGACATCACTGTCTAGACACTGATATTGAACTTAGGTGCTAAAAACATCCAATCAGCATTTTTCACCATTTACATTAAAAAAATAAAAAAATTAATCCAATTGAATAAAAAAATTGGGCATCAGCGGTTATCCAGCACATTTGCGGCATGCATTTAGTCAACTAGCTATACAAATACACTGACAATGCATCTTTCCTTCATAGTGTTTTGTCGTGGCTGCGTTGGAGTGCCTCATTGTCTACCATGAGTGTGCGGACAAAGAATGACAGAATCGTAAGAAGAAAGGATTTTTTTTTTTTGGGGAAATAGTCTAACTTGACAGCCAGTGTGTGGACCGTCACTCTTCTCACTGGTGTATCAGATTGAGAAGACAACTTCCCCTTTATGAGGACTTCAACATGCCTGAAGACGGGAAGCACAAAACTTCATACGTATGCGAAATGAATACACTGAAATACATTACTTACATAGATCTCATTGTGGTCAAAGCGCTTTCTCAGGTTCTCAAGGAAGGAGTCTTCTGACAAAGGTTCCAGGAGGACCATGTCACCCACCCCAATCATGTTGTCTAGAAGTGACGTTTTCACCTCCATTTTGGCTGCTGGTTTCGCCCTGGAGAAAAAAAAAAAAAAAAAGATTTGCATTTGTCAAACATGCTGTGCAGTGACCTGGAAAGAGGTGGCCATGTCAGGTTAGTGGCCATTGACTTCTGCCTTTTATTGAGAAGTATCATTCAAAACCTCAATCAGAATGCTAAGCTACGTAAATAAGCGGTTGTCAAATTTGCCAGAAAAATCAACACTGGATTGGTCAGCAATCGAAGAAGAAGGAATACGAGGTCTGCGTTTGTATCGTCAGTCTTGGTCTCAACGACTGACTTGACGCTTGACCTCTGGGCGGTTACTCAGACGTGTTTTATAAATCAAAAGAAATAGCGCGGGATTCCCACATTTTCTCACCCGTCTGCTGGCTTCGCCACACGGCCGGTAAAAGATCTGAGCTGGCGAGCGCCCGCACAAAGACAATGCTGGGGCTGGCACTTTTCAGTCCCGCGCTGCCCTTTTGGGACGCTAATCCCATTGCTATAGGACGGGAGAAAAGAGGGGCCTAGCATACATTCATGGCCCTGTTACGGGGCTTTGCTCAACCGCGACGCAATGTTCGCCGCTGTGACCGACCTCACGTACAAGGACAACCTTTTGAGGCCGGGTAGTCATCGACTGTTCACCCCTCGCGCAATACAAAAAGTCTCTTTGCAACGGCCGACGGTGAACAGAAGCGTAGCAAGTCGACCCATTCCCATGTTTGCGGTACGCCACTCCGTCGAAAAACCAGAAACAGTAGCGAGCGGTTGGAGAGTAATTTAAGAGGCCTTCACATTCAAATGACACTCAGGAGGGTTGGGATGCAAACTCGGAAGACAAAGGCATCCAGTGCAGGTAATGAAATGACTCAGACCAGATTACACGAGGCTTTGAAGAAAAACCCTCAAGAGTTTCCAACACATAACTCTGTCCGGGCTGTCAAACAAGCAGTAACTTCGAGACAGCCCGAGTTCTTGGAAGAGCTAAAAAAAAAAGAAAAAAAAAAACTGGCTCCGTGTAAACTTCCTCTTCACTTTTTCCCTGGCTTCTGTTTCCCTCCAGGGCTGAATATTATTAGTCCAGAAAGAAGCGCCTTGGCTTTAGCGAGCCAAAAACGATTGTTGTAAAGAAACAGAACGGCATCATTTAAAAAAATAAGCAATTGATGAAGTTTGCGCCCGTTGTTTTTGTAATTCCTTAAGACTTCCAGACATCTCATTCATCGGCGTTGCTACATATCATTTGTCAACTGCTGACCTCTATACTCGTCGAGAAAATAATGATTAGGAGGCAAATCTTGGCTTTTAATGTCAAATATGAGGGAGAGAAATGCCAACTGGCTAAAGTTGGAAAGATGGCAACTTAAAGAACCGGACACAATTTACCGGCTGGTATAAGCGTGTATAAGTGTCATGGTAGTGAATAGAGTAAGCGAGGAGCCGTGGGGTGAGTCAGCATGGCTCATTTCATAGTTGTGATGCTCTAAATAAATTACTTTGCCATTACAATTTGGCAAAAAAGCCAAAAAAAAAAAAAAACACTTTGGTCAAAGTTGCTCTTCTGCTTGGCATAGAAAGGTCTTTTGTTTCCCCCCAATTTTGATGAGAAGGTTTTCATTTGGCAGCCAACGCTCGAAAATGGCGGCCAATACGGGGAACTGTGACAGAAAAATCCAAATTTGCATGAGCACCAACCACCACATGTTCAATAGATAGCCACTTCCTATAAAGTGTCTGCCCGAATGTCAAGAAATGAAAATTCATGGCCGCCGCTGCTACCTAACAAGCAATTCGACCGATCACCATCCTGTAAATTTCTTGGCGGAGGTTATTATGTTTCAAAGAGTGAGTAGGCTAGTGGGAGACAGAGTGATTTTTACGCCCAAACTTCTTTTTCCATTTCAAACGGGCTGCGCTTCATCACCTGTTTGGAGGAAGGGGGAAAAAAAAAAGGGCATGGGGCCACACCACGGAAAAAGCAGACCAGACACATTGGTGCATCCAAACTACATTACAGCACGTGGCCCCTTTCGTCATCGGCGAAAGGACATGCTGACCAATTCCGTCGCCTCTGTTGGCAGCCGAAAGGTCTCGGCTCCTTTGCTAGTAACCGCACACACACTCCAGATCTAAGAAGTGGCTTAGAGGCAGCCAGTGGCACAATCCCGTTAAAAAGAGTTGCAGGCTGCTGGATCGCCTCCAAAAGAGGAAAGAAGAGAAGACCCGATAGCCTTGATTACACTCCGGGGCATCATCCTTAGTGCTGAGTGGTCAAGGGCCAGCCCTACAACGAAAGAATGGTCAAGTTAAGACATTTTTTTTTTTTGGGGTGTAGCCAGAAAAATATATATTTTTTTTAAAACTTATTTTCTGAAATACTGAGTTGAGTGAGTCTCAAATGAATGTGATCATTAAAAGGAAATGCCATTCATCATAACACACAGCGGTGCGGTGACTGGATTTTAATTCCTTCCTTGGCCACAATCATAACTCAAAACACACCTGTCAAATCATCTTTTGAAATGCCATTAATCCGTTCCGGTAGGCAGTAAAACATGCCCCAAAAAATAAATAAGTATAATATATGGTAGCATTGTGCTTTTGAGAAGAAAAATGGCACGGTACAGTACTGCACTATATACAAACATGCATGAATAATTTAAGAGAAGGTGAAGAATTACTGAGCATCTCATTGCGTGGCTTCTTGTGGTGCGCGCGCACTTGCCACCAGGGAGCAGTTCAATATAATTTATCCATATGGATATGAAGGAAGACGACGGTCACAACACCTCAGTAGGATTAGTTACTTTGGTCAGAGGATAAAGAATTTATGCCTGCGACTCCTTGTATATTTTCTGTCTCTACTTGTCGCTGAATAGTTGCTGTTCAAATATGTTGCGACATCAATGCTAGTTTCCTTAGCCCATCCAAATATGGCGCTTCAATTTATGCGTTGGAGTGAAGCTAGCCGACTTTGGTATCGGGGAAAGTTACTTGGTTGCTTTAAATACACCGCATGCTTTATTTTATGTTTCGTTTGACAGCAAACTTCCGACAGGCCGCTCGTCCGCGATCTGGCAAACTGCGCCTTTCTGTGAAATGAGTCGACAGCGCACA